TTTGTTAATTTATGTGTACATTTTGAATATTATATATATTGGATAATTTGACCACTATTTTTTATATGTAATTTTGTTTTGAATATGTCAATTTAAATTAAAGTAATTAAAAAAAATAAAATGATACAATTAAATTAAATTTAAAAAGTAAAAATTTGAAAAAATTAATATAATTAAATTGATATAAGAGAAATAATAAAACAAAATGTCAAAACCTTTCGCGACAATTAAAAAATTTTTAAAAAAAAAAAAAAAAAAATTTGAATATTTCGTTGCGCAAATATTTGCACGACGTTAGCATTCGTCGCGCAAAGTAGTTAAGTTCGTTGCGCAAAGCAATTAAGGTTCGTCGCGCAAAGAAGTGAAGGTTCATCGCGCAAAGTAGTTAAGATTCGTCGCGCAAAGTTGTGAAGGTTCGTCGCGCCAAGTAGTAAAGGTTCGTCACTCAAAGTAGCTTTGAGCGACGTTAGAATTCGTTGCGCAAAGTAGTTAACTTTCGTCGCGCAAAGTATCTCTGCGCGACGAAGAATAGTTTTGCGCGACCAATATTTCATAGCAAACTTATTTCGTCGTGCAAAGTGTTTTTTGTAGTAGTGAAATATCCCAGCAAATATCAGAAACTTGGGATGGATAGAAACTCTTGATCTATTAGTGTGATCTATCTTTCAGGTTCAATTCCACAGAGCATGGTTTCTTTAACATTTTTGAATCATCTGAATCTATCGTACAATAGCTTGTTCGGGAAAATTCCAACAGGTAACCAGTTTAAGACATTTATGAGGGCAATGCAGGTCTTAGCAGGTGTCCATTACCAACTGGTTGCCAAGACAATGAAGGAGCACCTCAAGTTCCAAGTGGAGATGGAGGAGAGGATGATGACAGTAAACTTGAAAAGCTACAGTTCGTCATTAGCATGGTGATAGGTTTCTGGGGAGTTTTTGGGACATTGGCCATGAAGAGGTCTTGAAAACATGCCTATTTTCACTTCCTTGACAAAGTGAAAGATGCTGTCCTTGATTTTGTCTCAGCCATTGGTACTTATCTGCAGAAAAGATCGTAGAGCATAGAAGAAGCTGCACATGTGAAGGAATATGTATGCAAGCAAATAAAGCAAAGTTTAGTATTGTCCTTTACAATTTTGTAAGTTGGTTATTGTAATATGAATTTATACTTTTGTGTATTGTGCCTTAACGAAACAATTGCTTCAATCCATTTGAGTCAGAAAATAAAAGATTTAACGAAGTTCCTCACAACAAGTATAATTGAGGTATGTCCAAAGCCTGTGCAAACACATCCACTATCAACAAATTAGGATGTTTACAAAATGTTTGGCAACCTCACAACCCAAAGCCCCAAATACACCCAATAACACTGACCGCACAAAAACAAATAGAGGAGGAAATTATGAAGATATCCTAGCAAAATGTAAACCTTGATATTTTTTTGAATGAATTTTTTCCCAACGTTTGTCAAGACTTAGAAATAATTAAAATTATGTTTTGTTTTGAGTTGTTTTATCGTGCCAACCCACAACCCAGGTGCTCGTATATTTCTTTTGTACTAAATTTCAAGGAAACTTGACATGATAACTCGGTTTACCATAAATGTAAATTGGCAAGGAAGAGGATGACGTTAAATCAATACAGCTTTTAGGCTATACATAGCATTTTCCAAAAATGGGTTTACTAGGTTGATGGCAAAAAGGTTTTGTGCAGACAAGTGCTAGAGTTACTCATGCTTTCCTAAGTTTTGTCCCCAGTCTTGATATAATTTCCTAGAGATAAGCATCACAAGGATTTGTGCTATCCAACCCTTGTATGAAATATTCTTCCTCATCGTTCAAAGTAATAATATCGTCATCACAAACAAAATTTGAAGTCTTTTATATGAATTAATCTGATAGTTTCTCATTTACTTTTAGCAAATATTTAGGCTTAATTTGGGATCGCTGTGCTTCTTTTTGAAGCAGCTTTTATTTATTTATTTATAATTTATAATTTATAATTTTTTTAAAAAAGATTTGTTTTTCAAAATTAGGGGTCATGCGCAGCAGTTTTTAAAAGCTGGTGAGAGGCTGCTTCTAAAAACTGCTGCGCGAAGAAGCATGCAGAGCAGAGGAGTTTTCAGATTTCCCATATTGTCCTTATTTGTTTCAACAAATTACATACTCTATCCTTCTCCTTTTCACGATCTATTCCTTCTCATTTGACTGTCGTTCCTCCTGGGTATTGAAATTACCCAACAAAGCATGAACCTTTCACTTCAACAAAATTGAGATTGAAAAAACTGAAGGTCCAAGATCTGATTGGACCAAACAGCAAAAGAACCTAAATTATACATTATTTATTTTTTAATGATAATTTTAGTTTTTTTTAAAAAAACTTTCATCATCATACTCTTTTTTGTCATTGTACACTGTCACAGCAATTCTATACAAAAATTTACCAAATACTTTGACACTTCTTTTCATACTCATAACACTTTTACAAATATAGATTACCAAACGCTAAACTATTTTCCTTTATAGCTGATTTTTCTCACAGCAAATTTAAAAGTAATTATTTTCATAGCATAGCAATGCCAAACTAGCCCTTAGTTACTTCATTTCACAACTGTTTATTCTCGTAGCACAACATAAGCAGTTTTTTTAAGCACAGTAATGCCAAATCTAGCCCTCAGTGTCCTTGAGATTGGACCTCATCACATAGTTACTTTTTCTCTCCTCCAATTTTGATCCTCTTATTCTTATAAAAGTAATTGGCTTTTCTTCTTTCTTCTTTTTTTGTTTTGTGTTGGGAGTTATCGACAAGAACCATCGTTCTTGAGATCCATTTAAATTGCTTTTCATATGCATGCCAGGAAAGACATTGTCGATGTACAGTTGCAGTATATTGCATTCGGACTGTTAAATATATGGGAGTCCCTTTTTGACTTAGCCTGTCATTTTTGCTTTACATTCCACTTTCTTTGGCCATCACTTGGTATAACTAAATTTTCTAAGATGTGCATACCTTTGTAAATCTCGTAAACTGAAGAACATGAGACACAAATTCAATGCAGTTTGATTGGTCATATCCTACCAAGGGCTAATACTTTTCCATCGTTAGAAAAAATAAAAAAAGAAGAAGCTAGAAACAACATAAAGCAAAATGGTACTTTTGGCTGAAGGTCAAAACTCAACTTATTCAATAACAACTTATCCTGTTATGCAGAAAGTAGAACTGGATAGTTGTAATGGGCCCTTAAATTCATGCCGAACATACCTCCAACACAACAATATTTTCGGCCTCTAAACTAAGTTCACAATGAAAAATGAGAAAATATTGCTCATAATCCAGTTCAACATAATCGAACTAAACGTGTTGAGGTGGATAGACATTTCATCAAAGAAAAAATTAAGAACAAGATCATCTGTCTACCCTTTGTAAAATAATAAGATCAATTAGTGGATGTCTTAATAAAAGTTGTCCGTGGACGAGTGCTTTATGACTCACTTACCAAGTTGGGCATTGGTGACTTGTATGCACCAACTTGAGGAGGAGTATTGACGTGAGTTAACCTACTAAATCAAAGAGATTTATTTCCTGAGTTAATTAGGTGATTTACTTCCTTGTTTTATATAGTTTACACATCCTTGTATAATTAGGAGATATTTTCCTAATTAATTACTATATCTATTTTCTTGTAAAGCACCCTCATGAATTCTTATATATCTCTTTATAGAGAAGAATACTATTAACCTAAAGTATTCAAACCATATTCATATTTTAGCAGTCATGAGGGCTATGCTCGTATCAGAAACTCCTCCGATACTATGTGCATCCAAGGCTTTTTGGTTATGTTGACCATCCCATACGAGGATACTGCCGAGGTTATTTCTTTAAGCTATTATTTGTTTCAACAGATGAGATGACCATGGATGCAAATTTAAATAATGTCTTAATGCATTTTCACAACTCAAAGACATATAGGCATTGGTGAAGCCAATTAAGGCCCACAAGTGTCACTTGACTCTTCTCAACATTTTGAAAATATTATATTTATCTATGTTATCCAAATTGTTTTATAGCTATACTTACTATTGACCATTCTCACAATATAAATTTTCTACAATGAACATGAATATGATCTATATTTGTTTTCACGTCTTCATATGTCATTTATATGTGTGTCATGGATTTTATTTGATTTTCTCATTCTATCTAAAATCAACTTTTGATACTCTTTAATTATTTTTAGGTTGCTAGAATTTGGGTTATACTTACTAAGATATTAAATTCGTGATATTGAAATTTAATCATTATAATGAGTTCTTATATATATTTTCCTATAAAAACTAAGTTCATTGTAATTATAAAGCTATTTAAAGTTGACCCTCTTTGATAGAATTCCTAGCTCCACCACTGCAGATAGGGGACACAGTCCTAAATGAAGCAAGCTACAAATCTCATCAGATTCTCAGATTGGTATGACCAGTTGTTTTTTCCTAACAAACTGAATTTGTAAATGTCACATTGTTTTGCTTACCAATTATGCTAAATTACCCTATTGGTCAATTATGTTTGTGGTTTTATCAGGTAATAGAAAGTTCAGCACGTGAGTTTCTTGGCTATGACAAATCAAGCTCCCTTATAGCTGTTGTGGTATGTACTATTATTTTTAGAGGAAGAATATGAGTTTCAAAATGAGTTTAAAAAAAAAATCAATGACAGTTTTGTAATTTAAAAGAAGTTAAAAGCCTTTTTGATGTTATATTGTAAATGGGCTTTGGGTGTGTTTCTAAAGTCCATTTCATATATGGTTTTTGTATAATTTGGGCCCCTATATTGGGTATAATAGTGAATCTCCCTTTTAAAAAAACCATCGAAGGGAAAACGGATAACAACAGAATGATACAATTCCTTTTGGTACAGAACTTCGTCGATCTTGCCGGAAGTGAGCGTGCATCCCAGACACTATCAGCTGGCACAAGGTTGAAAGAGGGTTGCCATATAAATCACAGTCTACTAACTCTGGGCACTGTTATTCGCAAGCTCAGGTCAGCTTGTGCAGCTTATTTTTAAATTTTAATTTTCAGAAGTTACGGTCTTTTGCCAAAACCTATTCTACTATGTGCCATTGTTATGTTGTGTCTTAACTTTTGCTTCTTTCTGTTAGTCTTTGTGCAATTGAACTTCTAGCATAACACGAATTGTCATATCTGATACTAATTTGTGCAATACTCATGCAGCAAGGGAAGAAATGGGCATGTTCCTTACCGAGATTCGAAGCTAACCCGCATTCTGCAGTCCTCCTTGGGAGGAATTAATGCTAGAACTGCCATCATTTGTACCACGAGTCCTGCACATAGCCATGTTGAACAATCAAGAAATACCCTTTTGCTTGCAAGCTGTGCTAAAGAAGCGACAACAAATGCACAGGTTAATGTAGTCATGTCGGATAAAGCATTGGTGAAGCATTTGCAAAGAGCATTGACTAGATATTAGAGAATGAGTTGAGAGCTTCAGGACCAAAAACTGTTCCAGCTGATTCTTCAACATTATTGAAAAAATATGTTATTCTCTTCAGTCAATTTTTTTTTTTTTTTTTAACATATTGTTTTTTAACTCAAGTGAATATCCAAAACTGGGCAAAGAAGCACAGAACAGAGGCCGACAGATTTGCTGACCTCTTAAAAGATCACCAAATAAAAATATAAATTCCGCTAATGGGAAGCAGGAATTTTCTCCTTAATATGTTTTGACCTTTAATTATTTTCTTTCAGGTCTTTTCACAATTTGATCAAGCAGGTTTCTCCATGTTCTTTACTTTTAATTCTGTCTCATGATTCTTGAGTCGTAAAATGGCAATCTCTGAAAATCTTCATTGTGCTTACCTTGGAAATTTCTTTTCTATGTTCTTTCTTTCTTCTCCATGGTTCTCGTATGTAAGAGGACATAGTACAGTTTTGTTTTTCCTGTTCATGTTTCATGCAGCATCCTTTTCTTGTCTAAAAAACAATATCATTAAGCCTCTCATCTGTAAGCCAGACTGAGTATTAAAATCCCACTCCAAACTCCGAAGACTAAGACATTGATAATAACAAAGAGCTGGATTATTCAAGAAAGGACAAACCTGGTTTGGCCAAATCTGATAAGCCAAAATCAATGGGTTTCAACTGTGAATTCTCATCCTTAGCGGAATACAAAAAGTTCTGACAGAAAAATGAAAATAGTGTTGTGAATTAGAATGACTAACTCACTGCCCTTTTAAGATCTTGTTGTTGATGGACTTTTAGACAAAGAACTCAATGATGGATGAGTCTTACACACACACACAGAAATTAACCAAGCACAAATGACACAAGTGTTTATAGAGGTTCAGCAAATTGCCTACATCCTCTTTGGTGATCACCTTGAGAAATTTCACTAATGAAGATAGGTTACAACTTTGGTTTACAAAGGAAACCCCCCTAGAACACTACCCTCACAATCTGTTTCTCTCACACCCTTGCTCAACACCTTGATACACTTAGAGAACTCTCTTGCTCTCACCCTTGGCTTTTCTGAAACTCTCACATAGAACATTAGTTTAACACAAATATAATTACATACAGAAAGCACAATCAATATATCAAGTTGACCACAACTTCTAGCTTTAATGATGGATATCTTGCACATCAATATGGAGAGACATCAATCTTCTTGTGAACTAGTTTTAAATTGTTTGGAGGAAACCCTACACTTTCCGCATAAAACGTCTTTTGAAACAAAGCCACAAAAGATACCATATGGACCAAGCAAATATAGGTCAAGACTCAGATTTTTTCTTCATCAGTTCTTCAAAAACACCTGTTACAGAAAACAGGTGGGAACCAACTACAGCCCCGTTCAGCAATGACATCAAATGATGGCAGGCCAAAGAGATTGATAGGATTTTCATCATGCTTACCAATTCTTAATCAATTAAAAATATTCTTTGTGTCATTCCACAGTAGGTTTGCCAATTGCAGTCTCCTATTCTTTGAATGTAGCCCAATACCCCACTTTAGGTACAGGTTATTTCTTTTGTCTGCAGAGAGCCGCCTCCGCCTTTGCTTGGTCAGCATGTGTCTCTCACTAGACGAAGCCTTCAAGCTATTTATAGAATGAAACATGTTTAAGTTCAGACAATGCACATACAAGATAACCAAGCAAATCTGCAACCTTCTAATCTAGATCAGATGTGGTAAAATACCGTGAAGCGGGTGTTATAATTTGACCATCTTCCAAAGTTTGATTGCCCCGAGCAAACGTATCTTTGAGGAAGGACAATCTCCTGTGCTTTCCATGTAAATATAATCACTCGGATCACCTTTAAATAGGAGAAAAGAAGTAAGTCCTGTGAACCAATGACACGTTGCAGGCCTCCCAAAGTTCAATGATCTCTCTTTGCAGCCCGTTGAATTCTGAAGGCCACATTGAAGGGCTTTCCTCATCACTATGAACTGGGTCCAAGCCAACATCTTTTACATCCCTTGCAGATGGTACGGGCTTCAAATCCATCCCTGGTACCTGTCATACGATAAAATCCTTGTTAGAAATGTAATTAGTTAGATTGTCTACAACTTGGCTTCTTTATTTCTCAATGGCTACATTTGAAGAGAAAAGGAATAACTGGTTGTATATCTTACTAAAATCCCTATAATTCCTGCAAGAATTGTGCATAAATCAGATATTGCATAATTTTCAGTTTAGTTTCACCAGTGTGAAACAAAGTGAAGGGTCCTTCCTTTTTCATTCTTCCAACTGGATGTCCATCTTACTAATTGCCCTTTTTCTTCTCTTCATCAATACACCATTAAGACGAGTGGCCTACTCTAAAGAAATGATGACAAAATAAAAAAACTCACCGTACGATCAAGAAGTTGAGTATTGCATTGGGTATCAGTCATTTCCTCTGTTCCTTCAGCTAAAGTACTGCACTCAGTACTCTTGTCATCAGTTGTGAATGTGGTATTTTGTGCTTTACACTCATCAACAGTAGCACTTCGCAGAAGCCTAAGAGCCATTTCTTGATAGCCTCTCCCTCTCATTCTCACCTCCATAGTTCAATGAAGGAAGTTTCTTTTGGACACTCTCAGGCCTTCCTGTAAAACTTTTCTCAAAATCAATTGGAGGAGGTGTTCTCTCATTCTTCTCTAGCCTAAAATAAAAGAATTGTACTCAAGACAGTGACGAGTCTTGTACTTGTAGGGTAACTAAGACGACCACAGATTTACTTAAGACCCTAGTGAAGAGTCTTCTAGAGTACAACTTTATGAGGGCCTAAAATCATGTTTAAGCTTTGTGCTAAAAAAACAAATTCTTCTACTCATAATACTAATCTTCCTTCTTTTCTGTTCCCTTCATCACTTTTCTTCCATCAATTGCAACATCTCCACCAATTTTGATCCTCTTATTGCTTTTCATATGCACGCCAGGAAAGACATTTCAACAAATTTGTCAATGTACAGTTGCAGTATATTGCATTCGGACTGATATATGGGAGTTCCCTTTTGACTTAGCCTGTCATTTTTGCATTACGTTTTGGCCATCACTTGGTATAACTAAATTTTCTTAGATGTGCATACCTTTGTGTATCTCATAAACTGAAGAACATGAGACACAAATTCAATACAGTTTAATTGGGAAAGCCTATAACAATAACTAATACTTTCTTTAAATAAAAAAAAAATTTATAAAAACTATTAAAAAAAAAAAACTAAAAGGAAACTGGTACTAATGGCTGATGGTCATAGCACTTGTCAATGATCAAATGCAATTCATATATAACAGATGAAAGAGTAATTACATTCCCAATCAGGGATTTTGTTCATATTATATGGTCAAAACTCAACTTATCCTGTTATGCAGAACGTTATTTTCAGCACCTATACTAAGTTCGCATTGGAAAATGAGAAAAACAAAACCCGAATCCCCAAAATCTCATATAACACAGATCAAGGAAGCATTTTCTCTAGCTGCAGCTGCTCAATTTTGATCTGGGTAGACAGTATGAGAAACTCCATGAACTTAGCATCCTTTTCGTCGATTGCTTAGAGGGGTTTTGGATACTTTATCCTGATAGGGGCTCAACTGAAGCTCTGCCTTGACAGATATTAGACAGTGCTGACGTCCACACGGCTTCTATGAAGCTGGAAGGAAGGAGTGATCCAACTCCCGCAACTGCATTGGCTGCCTGACCAATTGAAGTAACCCAAGCGAGCTTCACAATGTCCACATGACAACTTGCCCTTGCCCTCCAGTGCTCCTTCTTCAACTGTGTAATGAGAAAACATATGAAAGATTAAATTATATCATGTTTCCATGACAAATCACATTGAACAAAAGATGCCTCCAAATGAAATAACTTCTACTTCATTCAAGTTAAGGTATAAGGAAACCAAAATCAGCTGAACAAAAATAATGGAAAAGATCAAGAAAAGCGCTATAGGTCCAAAAATAGGAATGTGAAAAGGATGTGGATTCTGTCTGAGTGTCAAAGTCTATATTCGATACTTTTTTCAATGTTTAAAATACCATCATTTGTCAATAAACTGGATTAACTGGTCAACAAGAAAAATCAATTCGCAGCTGACATGTAATCTCAAGTGACAATTTGATCATATAATATCCCAGTTAAACAACTGTAGAGCATTTAAATTATAACAATCAAATCAAAGAACCCAAGGAAACTCTTTTGACAAGAGAGCTCTGTTGCATGATTAACCATTACTGCAATGGAAAAGGTAAGCCATACAGTTATAAATATGACACAGTTACCTGCTGTCATCCACCTTTGAGGCTCAACAAAAATGGATGAACATTCAGAATCCTCAGACAAGTTGCTATTTCTTTGCTTTCGCCACTCAAACGATTTCTCACCCTCGCCTGGAATGTGATCCACAACATTGTCCTGCAATGCAACAATTCTTCGGCATTTCTTGCAGCGGAATGCTGGTGTACCAGTTTTTCCTCCATTTTGAGCTGTTTTTACTCCAGAGGCAACTTCACCAGGCAACCCAGGATCTGCCCCAAATTTAGAACTGTCTATTTTATCCCCATGATGATAAGATTCACCTGAAAGGTCACCAATCCCTGTGGAATCGACCTCGCACTTACATACGCTATACTACCGAACGGCTCGTGCACTTGCGAGTATCACAAGTTGAGGATGCAGCTGAATCCATTTTGGTGCAGCTGTATCTACACAACACCACTCAATTTGAAACCTCCAGTGAAAATGAGTAGGCATAACTTATAATGTCTCCTATGCTGAGACAAACAACTTTTCA